GGACCAGAGCCTGAGCACAGCAGAAGAGGAGCCCAAGAGCTGTGACAATCCCCTTGAGCTGGAAGGGGACGAAGCCCCGGGCCAGCCGCAAGCTCCAGACCAAAGCAGCAGCGCTGGCACCAAGGACACGTCCCCGTCACGCGGCAGCGGCGGCAGCACCGACATCTCCGCAGCAGAGCCTGGGGCGGCCTTGCTGGCACTGGAAGCCCAAGATAAGAGCTGCGCCGATGCCGAGATACTGGAGAGCGGCGAGAACCCAGCAGCGCCCGAGGAGCAGAGCCAGGACGCGAGCGCCGGCGCGGCGGAGCGCAGCCCGAGTCCTTCCGCACGGGAAGCCCAAGGGCGAGACTGCGCCCGGGTCTCCCCACACGAGCAAACCCTGGAAGCCCAGGAGCTGAGCGCGCCCGATGCTGTCCACGATGAGGACCCATCCGCTCCCGACACCCAGAGCCAGACGGATGCCCCCGTGCTGAGCCCGGAGAGAAGGGGATCCGCGCTGGAAGAGGGGCACGAGGAGCGCTCGGGCTTGGCCGACGCGCTGTGGCGCGAGCTGCGGGTGTCCGCGGGCGACACCGGCGCGGAGAGCGCGGCCGGGCACGAGCAGGAGGACGGCTTCGAGGACGACTGCACCGCCGAGCTCTTGGAAGAGGTACTGCTTCGCCGCGGCGCTCCCGCAGGGAACGGCTTTGCGGGAAAGAGGGATTGGCCCTAAAAAATTGGTCTGCGGGAGGAGAGTCTGCGTCTGGCCGGAGCAGGGGCCGGAGCGCGGCACAGGAGGGGCACGGAGGGGATGGAATGGGGCCTGGGTCTCTATGTGAAGTGAGTCCCTGCCTGTGCTGCAATGTTCAGAACAGGAGCCCTTATAAACCCTATTGTGTCCCAATCTTCCCAGATTGCAGCTCATTTAACTGTGAAGGACATAAGCGTTGAGAAGATCAGTTTTGATTATTCCAGTTACGGAGAAGCGCAGCTCAGCGAAGGCGACTTCAGCCACGTAGTAGAAATCTATGACTTCTCCCCATCGCTGAAAACGGAGCACCTGATGGAAATATTCTCCGACTTCCAGTAAGTGTCTCTCTGAGCCCAAGCACATTGGGGAAAGCGAGCAGAATGTGGGTTGTAAATCGATGCATCTAATTGAAGCAGTCAATTTTATTTATTTTCTGTACTGCAGGAAAATCTTCAAATTCCCTGCTCCCAAACTCACATTTGCCACTGGTGGGTTATCAGATTTTTATTTTTTTCCCCACAGAGGAAGGTTTGACTTGAGATTTGACTTTGGCTAAGAGTTTCTGAAGAGGACAAACAGTTCTTGAGGAGGACAGGAGGATCACAGATTATGACTTTGAAAAGGGCACATTTAACTTCTGTTTCTTTTTCTTTCTCCTCATGTGAAATGGGTGTAATGCATTGAAAAGCGTACGCGGCTTAGGGGTTTTGTTGTGTGACCTTTTCCTCCTGTTGATAAATACCGTTCTCTCCTGTTTTTAGCGAGAGCGGGTTCAAAATCCAGTGGGTTGATGACACGCACGCCCTGGGCATCTTCTGCAGCGTGACAGCAGGTAGGGAGCCCTGGCAGCGGCCGCGTGCGCTTCGAGCCTCGAGTGCTTTTAGGACCCGTGAAGCTGGAAGTGCTGCGTGCAAGTTCTGCTTTGCAAGAACAGCAGGTTTTTAATTGGCGTGGGTAATAAAGAGGACGCTTTCCATAGGAAGAGCCACTCTGATTTATGCAGCCTGCTTAGAAGTTAATCTGTATTACGCTCCTTTGTAATGAGAGAAGCATCCCGTGAGCATACAGCAAATGCAGGGGTGCTTGTGGCCTCCCGGGGACGCCGAGTGCCGATGCCGCTCGGATCGGGGCATTCCCAAAAGAACTTTGTGCAGCAGCGTGCGAGTGTGCGGAGGCTGAAGGCACATGCTCCGTTCTGCATCTTTGGTCAATAATGCATAATTTTAAAAACTTGTTAATATTCTGCTGGGCCTCTTTTCCTGTGCAAGGAATGCACAATGTAACCCTGAGGTGACCAGACTAAATTAATCTGGTTTAGTACTGATTAAGCTCAATTTATTTGGTGTTATGTCTCCTGTACTGATTTTTATATGGTTAAAACTACCGCAGTTCAGCCTGTTAACTTCAATAATCTTTGTTCTTTAAAGCTTGTCAAGCCCTGGGACGAAGATACCCGTCTTTAAAGATCCGACCATTGATCCATGCCACAAGGCAGTCTAAAACTAAGGCCCTTCAGCGACCAAGTAAGAGAACTGTTTGTTTTTTTCCTCTTTTCTTCCTCTCAGTTTTGCCTATTTTCTGTATCTCAGGCAGTTACGATGGCTAGTTAAATGGAGAAATACATATTATGGAGCATTATTACTTCATTTTAAATAGCTTTATTAGCACTGCGGATCAGTGCGCTGTTGTCATTTGTGCAGTTCAAGAAGAGCCTGCTGGTGCTTATTTTTTTTAACAGTAGGTTCAGCCACTCCATAGCAGCAGTACGTTGGAACGGACTTACCTGTAATGTTGCATTCTGCACTGACAGCAAGAAATAACTGTTTGCAGCAGGCAGGAATACCTGGTGTAGCTGAATCTGATGACAGACAGAGTTGTAGGGTGAGATTACATTATAGATTAGTTGGTTTTTGCTATGGCGCTATCTTGTGTAAAGTCTAAGTGAAATGAGTAAAGGCAGAGACATCTCAAAGACCCTAGACCAGCCCAGCAAAAGGTCCTCTGCTCTGTTACCCTGCACTAATAATAGATGAACCAAAATCAATAGCAGTTGCATTTGGTGGCTGATAATAGTTTTGATTCAGTGTCAGATGAAGGAGGAAAAAAAAAAACTGTTAAGCTTAGCCATTAACATTGTTTTATTTCTTTTATTACCTTGAAAAATCATACTGTAATCAGTTATACGTGCCACAGTAAAGAAATGCCATGAGTCTTGTAGCAGTAGAGACTTCGCTAAACATACAACGATACTGTTCTGTCTACAGTACATTGCAATTGAAACAGATTTCAGTATTATGATTTAAAGGGACACTGTCACAGTTAGAATTTCCTGAGTTTTTAAGATTGCTAGATTTCAATGGAATGTGGAGAAACTGAGGAATTGCTTTTGCACTGCTTCACATCTGTTTTCAGTCAATCTCACTTCCTGATTCTCTTGCTGTAGCCTGCTGGCACATTCACGAATCAGGGTGCAAACTTCTCCTGGGGAAACCTATATATAAATTTGTTTGAATCCAGTTAAAATAGCACATTTTTCCTAAACACAAATTTGGATCTTAATTAGCTGACAGTGTCTCTTCTTTAAGAGCTTTGTCAAGAAAGATTGGCAGTTTAATTTTCCAAGCTGTGGATGCTTCGAGTTTGTTCCTTTTTCTTTAAGCTGCTGATGGGCTGCCTTTAGTAATAAATCTTCTGAAAAAGCAAGCAAAGCCCAAATTGCTAAATGGATAATAAATTTGCAAACAGTTGCTGATACATGAGTATATAGTAGCCAAATCCAGACTGTTTGGGATTCTGTAAAGTTTTGGAAAATGGCTTGCTTGTAAGACGAAGTTGTACCAAGCCAGATGATTACCAGAAAACGGAGGTTATTGGTCACTCCTGGGAAAGGGCTTCCCAAAAGCATCTGATAGATTTAGCCTTTTTTTTTAAAAAAAAAAAAGCAGTTTTTTTTCTATTGCTGCTTTCAATCAATGAGCCGGCGCTGAGGGCGCACGTGGCAGAGCCGAGGGCGCCGCCGCCTTCGCTTGCTCCCAGCGCCTGGACTTGCTGCGAGTGGTTCCGAAGCTGCTCCCGAGCGCCCCGCGGGATTGTTCCCATCTAGGACAGGCCTGGAGCGCGTTCCTACCCAAGTCCATGTGTAACTGTCCCTGCTGCGTGAGGTTTTCTGGGGAAGATGCAATCTGAGCTGTACAGAAATCCAAAGACGGCTTTGGGGAGGGAGGTGATCTGTGGTGATTCCGGGCTGCTTTGGTAAAGGAGAACAGGAGCCAGCCCTTCTGCCGCGGTGCAGGCGCAGCCCCAGCGAGCTCTAACCTGCTGGTGTCTCCCGCTTCTCCCTAGAGCTGCTCCAGCTGGCCAAGGAGAGGCCGCAGACGGACACGGCCGTGGCCAGGGAGCCGCAGGGGAGCCCATAAACTGCACGAGGAGCAGCGATGGCCACGGGGGTGTTCGCTTAGGGCTTTAGTGCTGGCCTTGCTCCCCGGGGGGGCGAGGGGACAACGTTGAGGGAGATGTTGAGCGGGAGCCCCGGGCCCTGCTCCTGTTACAGACCCTTACGGAGCTCAGGGTGGCTCTTGTAGGAGCCAGGGCTGCTCACAAGAAGAAAACTGCTTTAAAAAAGGTTTAAAAATGCACTAGGATAAGGGAGTTGTATGTTGTTGGCCAAAGTTCAGCTGTAAGCGAGAACCGAGCATTGTTTAATGTTTACTTTGTTGTAATGTTTTTGTTAAAGTTTCCCACAAAACTGACTACCATCAAATACAAGCGAATTTCAGGGTTTTTTTTTTCTTATTTACCTACTGATAAAGCGCCTGGCTTGCTCTGGTGTACGGGTAGTAAGGAGAGTTGTCATCCACTGATTAGGAAAAGAAAACTAGAACTTGGCAGGTGCTTGATTTGCACAGAGCCTGTGTTAAGAGATGCTGCAAGGCGCCTCGTTGCAGCAGCAACGGAGCATCCGCCGCGTCTCCGACTCCTCTTCACTGCATAGTCCTGCATCATGAGAACAGAATGGAGTTTTCCAACTTACAGTAGGCTAAAAACCTTTGCAAGATGCTACCATCTGGGCCACTGGATAAATCACAGAAATACTCTGACAGACATGAGCAAAAGACTTCTGCATTCTTTAAGCCTCACAACATCCCTGTGAGGTAGGTTGTGGAGAGAACAAGTTAGACACAGCTGGTTTCAAGCTCCCCTATAGATTAAAATGGTCAGCTATAATTTATTAATTTAATTTTAGCTGCTTGTACAAGTCTTATGTAAAGGGTAAAAACAGCTTTAGTGCCAGGAAAGTGACCAAGGCCCTCAGCTGTCATGGACTGGACATACACAAATGGCATAAAAAAAAACCAAAACATTTTTCTGGGTAAAATGGGTCTTATTCAAGTATGTGTGTCTGAAACTCTGTAGCAATGCGTGTCCTCAAACAAACAGAGGAGCACACGTAGCACCATTACAAATGAACTAAGTGTAGAAATCCTTTTAAAGGCAATTTACACAGGTGGTGTGAGAGCACGGGTCCGATCCCTGACGATGAAAGCCACGAAGATACCTCTGCAAGGTACCATGGCTGATAAAATGCCTTAACTCTGTTCATCCCTTAAAGAAAAGACAAAGCGAATATCCAGCTTAAAAGGTAGAAGTTAGATGTACGTACAGTTATGGGGTGAATAGCTTACTGTATAAAGGAAATTCACAGTCCAGGGGACTCATCACCAGGAGATGTGCTAAGTCTTCTAGATGTTACAACGCAGCTGTATAGATGGTCTAAGGGAGTTGTAGCTTCGTGGAGCTCTAATGCGCTCGTAGAAACCAGTTCTGCTCCATTTAAGAGGTTGTGCTGGGAGTGGAATATTGAATAGAAAAGTTTCACTGCAGCATTAAATTACGTGTTAGACTGTTCTGCTCAGAAAAAGCTGCCCCCATGTTGTTCCTTTCCTGTATTTATTTGCTAAAATGGAGCAATCGCGTGGCAGTTTTGAGGAATAGCTGTTTTCAAGAAGCCGTGTCACAAATGGAGGCGTTTGTGTCCATGGTACGTTCAAGCCTGAGTCAAAGAGCTTAAAGATAACCAGGAATAAGGCCTTGAAGAAAGTGAATGGTAAAGACATATTGAGGTTGCTGGTACCCAAACAAAGCCAAACGTCCTGCAGCCTGGACCTACATGCGGGAATAAAGGCGGCGCTGCAAAGTGAAGGGAGGAATCGCTACGGCGGAGGCTGGAACGGTGACGACCTGGAGCCGAGCAGAGCTGAGCCTGCCCCAAGCTGCCTCAGGAGCAGGGCCTTGAGTTACGAGAGACACACGGTGGTCCGAGCACCTACAAGTGGAGGGAAGGCATCTTTGGAAAATAATTTACCTTGCTAATTTGGCGCTTTGATTGTTTGCTTGATTCTGTTGTTGTGCAGTGGTTAAGGAGATCACAACGCAGGAAACCTCGCTTCGTTAAATAGTGGGAGGGAGGCCACGCCGCTCTATCGGGTGGACACCTTGTTATTTGTGAGTCCGCTGAAGTGGTCGAACTTCTGCTCCGTCTCCTCGCTGAAGGAGCCACCTGGGGAGGTGACAGAGCCCGCGTCAGCGTCGCGGCGGCACAGAGCGAGGGTTAGCACGAGCTAACGCGAGTGTTAATGAAAAATGGCATAACGGGATGAGCCGAGAGGCCGCAGGAGTCCTGGGTACGGGAGCAGGCGCTCCTTGATCTCCCTGCTAAGCCATAAAAGTTACCGTGTTTACCACCAGCGACACTGAAACGGTTTCGTCCTCGGGGCGATGGTGGTGGGTGGGTTCTGTTACTCTGCTCTTAACCAGGACCCTGCCCTTACTTGGTGGGGAGACCATAAAAGCTAAACGCAGTGTGTTTGAAGGAGGGTTATTTTCTAGGTCGGCTAGAGCGTCAGTCCAGCGCTCGCTCATCCAACTGAAGCGGGTTTGGCGCTCCTGAACTAGGTCACAAAGCTCTAGCGTGACACATAAGACAAGTATTTTTTTTGAGAAAAGCAACAAGCTAATGAGAAAAAGCAGTGGTTACGTGGACCTTTTTTTTTCAGGAAAAACACTTCTTGAAGAACTTCAGCCAGTTCTGGAGATTGTCCTTATGGCTTTAACAGCAGCTATCTACCTACATCCTAATAATTTATTTTCCTTATTGAAAATAGTTCCTCTTCAAAAACCCCAAATGTATTCTCATTTTAAACTGCTCCTGACAATTGACTGTTAAACATGAGTCTTGGCTTTGAAAGCTCTAAGGCAAAATAACCCAGATAAGATTTAGATATATTCAAGAAAATAATAATTCAGCTGTTTTCCGTCCTATCCAAGTAACAGCAGAGCCCTTTAGTTTCTGGCTTGAGCAGAGGGCTCTTCTGCAGAGGTCTGCTTTGCATATCACTATCCTTGTCTGCTTTTCAAGGAAAGAGAAGAAGCTTTTGGGCCTTAAGAGGTGGCTCCCAGGTTGGTCATAAGTCGCGTGTGAGAGCTCGAGGCTTGGTGCCTGCCCTTGACTCAGGCACCCGGAGAAGCTCTGGGATTGCACTGGAAAAGCTCTAGTGGTGTCTGACACCAGGGGAAAGGCTCTGTTCTTGCAGAACATGAGCTGCACGGCTGGAACACCCGTCGCCCCCGCTCTGCCCTGCCTGACCCAGAGGGATTCCTCCCGGGTCGCGCTCGGAGGCTCCTTCACCGCTGCGTTGCGCTTGCGGCCGCGGCAGCACCCGCTGCGTTAAGCAACGAGCCGTTCCGCGACCCACGCAGCACCGGCACAGCAGCCTTGGCGCCCTCCAGCAGCCAAATCTGCCCCGCTTTTCCAAGTGCATGCAAAGTGGGAGCCAGCATCAAAGCAGCTCGTTCCCAGAGGCCCCGGATTCCTCGGGGAAACGCGGCGGTTGGATCCGTGCGCAGGCTGCGGCTGCCCCAGGCAGTCGGTTCTCTCACCTATGTGGCAGCTGTACATCCAGATGCGCTGCCCGTCGTACCGGCACCTGCATTTCATCACGTTGTTGGAATAGTCGGATTCAGCAACTTCGTAGTTTGGGTTGATGACGACCTTGGGGATGATGGAGAAACACCATGGGGAGTTACTTAAAAGGGGACTGGAGATGCCACTTATGAGGCAGACACAGTGTTTCACTTGCATTAGGGAAAAAAGCCCTTTGCAAGTAGGAAGGAGCTACTTGATTGAAGATAGATCACAATGGCACCTTTCCTCCCATCAAAAAAACTTATCTACATTTCACAAGATAGCAGAGAAGATGAAAATAAATCTCCTTCCTCTCACTCTCTGCTGTTTAGGTGGCGGTTTTTAGGAGCAGAGAATTCCCCCCGTGTCTCCCCTTTGCACAGACTGCAGCACAGTCCTGATTTCTCAAGCAAACAGCCCAAGAGCAACACTGATTAATCCCCGAGTGAAGGCAGCATTGCTACAAACAGCTAAAACGCTTAGGACCAGCCAAGAGCAGGATGCTGTGCACGTATATAATGGAACGTGTAATGTGTTATTAGTACTAGCTGCACCTGCATTCCTTAAGGCTCTCGTGTTTGAACTGTGGTTATTGGCCATGAATTTGCACTCGAGGAAGTATGATATCTGGTAACACGTTGTTGTCCTGTTAGGTAATCATTTATCCACTAGGGATCCAGGGACTCTAACCCCTTTATAAGCAGTGGTTTATGGCACAGATACATCCATGCCGCCCCGAGCAGCTAAGGGAAGAGCAATGGCCATGTCTCGTGGCCTCTGCTTGCTCCTTCACCTGGAAGAGGTAGTCGCCGGGCGGGATGTCGGTGATGTCGATCCACTGGCAGTCGATGTCGTGGCGGTACACGTCCCAGCACCCGACCGTGATGCCTTGCTCCCCAAAGTTGGCACATTCGTACTGTTTTTGCACATCTGAATAAGAAGAGCCACGAGCACAAAGTATGAGATCCTCAGCAAGCAGGGCTGGTGAGTTCCCGTGTGGGTGACACCTCAGGGGACGGACAAGCTGTGCCCCTGCTCCCATGGGCAGGAGAGGCTCAGCCTGACGGCTCTGCCTGCCACAACACCCTGGTTAAATGCACGGGAATTGCTGCTGTCTATCACATCTCACTACCCACCTGCAAGCATGGAAATTCCTCACTTTATAGGGAATAGAAAATACACCCAGGCTTCCAAAGCAGCTCGCAGGAATAGTGTCCCTGAGTGCTGTCACCTGCATGGGGACAACACTGAGTTGCCAGCACGGAGGCCGCGGTGAACATACCTGCTTCGCACTCCGTGTCCTCCAGGCAGAAGCTGGCCTTGTGCCCCTCGGCTATCTTGGTGCCATTGAGGTTCAGGAGGTCGTAGTGGGTGAAAACCTCCATGCTGTGGTAATGCCTGCGGGACACAGCGGGACAGGCGGGTTTAGGAAATCGGCCGCCACTTGGGGTGGCCAGAGCACAAGGACTTGGATTCCAGCGGCCCAGGCCTTGCTCCAGCCCTCGGATGTGGCACCATCACCCCCGCTGCCTTCATGCTGGCTCCCAGCCTGGGTATTTGCTTGGATAGCAGGTCCTGGAGAGCGCCCTGCTCCCGCCTGTGTGCAGCTACAGCAGCGTTTGGTACCAGCACGGGAAGGGAGGAATCAAGGCAGCATTTCCGTGACCTTGTCATCTTCCAATAAATATTTCATCTGCTCTTTAACAACAGGTGCAAATCAGCAGGAGTTACCTGGACTAGCAACCTGGCTGGAGGAAGAGCTGTTTTTTTTTCTTTTCTTTTAAGATGCAGAATGCAAATTTATTGGCAAAAAAGCACCATCAGATGGATCAGCCTCTCTGTAAAAATAATCGTGGCTTAAAAACTTCCGACAGCCACGATTGCTGCCCTGCTCCACAGGTATCTGCAGATAAAGGCAGGCGGGGGGCAGGAATTTCTCCCTCCGGAGAGCGGGTTTCTTTCTACCTCCCACTGCCTTTTTCCTAACCCAAAAATAAATTGCCGCCTGCCAGAAGTTAATCACTTCTCACTCCCTGCGAAGGGTCTTTCCCATTTTTTGCTCTGCTTCCACATCAAAAACCTACTGAACAGAAGCTCCCAGCGATGGGGTGAGTGGTGAGGAGGGAAGTGACTTTGGCTTTGAAACTGTCTAATTTGGCTGCCTGCGATGAAAGTTGAGTCTGACTCAGATTCTGAAATATGTCTGAATCATTAGAGGAGGTGTTTACATTCTGATGTTTACAGACTGGAAAGATTGAAGAGGAATTGAGTTCATCCTCCTCCGTACAAACAGCATCCAGCCTGGAGCACACAGATGGCTCCTGGCCCCTTCCCAGTGCTCTCCCCGTCTCACCTCGCTTGAGCAGTTGCTCCCAGTGCCCTCCTTTTCAACCAGCCGGCTAAATCCTTGCGGGACCACACGCTCCCAAAGCCCCTTCCCTGCCCGGTTTACTTTGGCTGAAGCCGTTAGCTACCCCCTGAAAAGGAAGGTATTTTGGGGGTTAACTCTGCAATCTGCCAAAAATAAACACAGAACCAGCTCCCAGCTGCCTGGGCTGTAAGTGGAGCTGAGATGCGCTGTAGAAAGATGCAGGGTTGATGGTGGGTTCCCAAGTCCCTCCCCAGGTGAGGGGAGTCGCGTCAGTCCTATGCACATGGGGACAACGTGGCCATGTTCATCCATGGAATCATTATGGCTGGAAAAGACCTTCCAGATCGAGTCCAACGGTAAGCCCTTCAACCATCCACGCATCCATCCAATCCACACATCCACGCGTGCACCCGTCCATGCATTCCATCCATGCATTCCATCCATGCATCCGTGCGCTGGTGCCCACCTGTGGCAGTCGTGCCAGACCCAGGCGTGGCGGCCGTTCTTGGGGCGGAAATCGGACTGCCCGTTGTTGTGGATCTGGGAGGAGAAGCGCAGCAGGCGCCGGTAGCCCGACGTGAGGGACGTGTTGGCGGCCGAGCTGGCCAGGCAGTTCTCCTCGAGCGCGCACTGCAGCATGAACATGGGCCGGTCCTCCAGGTAGGCCGTCTGCTCCACCAGCTCCGCGTTGAGCACCAGGTCCGGGGCGGCTGCCAGCGGGAGGGAAGGGTTCACATGGACCGATGGCCAGCAAAAAACACCCCAAAGAGAGGGGGGTTTGCAGAGAGAGAGGCCCATCGTGCCGCACTTGTGACCCGTCCTCGGCATGGGCCACTCCATTCCTCCTGCGCGCCACTTTGGGCACTATTGCCCAGAGGAAACGGGAGGTACTCACTCTCCGAGCAGGACACGCCGGCACCAAAACGGCCGCCTCCGCGGGGGCAGGAGACGTCGGCCCCGTCGTGGCGGCAGTGCGCCAGCGACATCTCCGTCCCCGAGCACTTGACGCCGCTCATGACCACGCTGTCGGCAGTGATGTCTCCGTGCCAGTACCAGGTTTCCTGGCCAGAAGGGCAGAAAGAGGCATTTCACACACCGGGAGCCGGCTCCTAGGGGAACATTCCTGCCCGTGGGACTTGTGTTCATGCTCCGGAGCAGACTGAGGCACCAGCCTGTGCTACCAAGGAAAAGCATCCTGCCAAGGGTGCCGGTACCCGTGTTAACCCTTGTTCACACCGGACTGGTGTAGGTCAGGCCTTTAGGGGAGATGCCCAGCAACTAAACCGGATCGGCCCTGTGACGGACAACAGGGAACGGACTCTGCTGTCTCTGCGACTCCAGGAGGCCTCATGCTCAAAAATGAGACTCGAGCCCTGAATACGTGGGGGATTTGGAAGCCCACAAAGCGCCAAGGTAGCCCACTAACACCCTGACAAAGCTGCAGAGTGTGGGAGAAGGGACGGGAAGGAGGAAAAAAAAAATACTCTCCTCTCTGTGCGCTAGTGTGCCCAGTGACATTTCCAGGAAAAGCAAACCCATCTGTGCCGCCGCTCGCAGCGCAACAGGCTGTTTGTTAGCGCCGCTGCCGCTCTCCCCGCGCACGCACACAGGCTGCCCTGTTCTGCACAGAGCAGCTTTATGCTCGCGGGCACACGCATAAGGGCCTTTTCTGTTCCCAACACCCGGCTGAAGGAAAAAACGTCTTGTCCCTCGCCGGGCTCGGGGCTGTGTCAATAGAGCCGAGCGGCTGGACGGGCCGCGGCGCTCGGCTGCGCGCG